ACACAGGTGCATACGAATGTTGCTCGTTTGTTCCGCGGTAGTTTCGCAACGATCGAAACTATTGGCTTCCTCATAGAAACAGCGCAGACACATATACACATCTACATATGCAGTTTCACGAGCTCCGATAGATAAATCATCATATACATTTCTGTTACCTTGTAAACAAGCGGTATTCTACCTAAACTTATATATTACTCTGAGTCATATTCAAAGTATTTGGCAAATGTCCCTAAGCACAAGGGTGTAATGTAATAATTTTTGTAAATGGTAGGGCACACAATATTGCTCTTCTTACTTAATAGATATGAGACTCGTCACGAAGCTCCTTTAATATTTGGGATATTACAGATACTTTAGTAATGTTTTAGTTATTCGACTTTGTTAAAAAAAAATTATACAGCTATTGATATTATAAGATAAACGTGGGTGGGGCTTCTCATGATTAAAAGTTGTTAATTGCCTACAGTGTTTTTGAATAAGTGATGCTTTGATTAATTCAAATGTATTTGGCATTAAATCTACCGATTTGGCTGTACATAAATGATGTGTGAAATTACTGTAAATAATTGGAGTTTTTAAGCCTTCGAATTACGAAGATCAATTGCAGGTTAGACAAGAAAATTGTACTCAGTAAAGCATTAAATCCATCGATTTGCAGATGGTGAGTTCTAACAAAGCTTCAATTGAAAAGCGGATGGGATCAATCCATAATCTAAAAAACGTTCTGTGAACAATATTTAAGGCACAGATTTTCATTTAAATATTGGATCAGACAAGTAATATAGCTCCAGCTGTTGGAGAAGAAAACCTCGAATGCAGTTGTCATGCAAGGACGTACGCAAAAGCGGACGCAACCGCTGGTTATTTTTTTATTCGGCATTCACCTTCATTTCCGTAAGTCTGACTTTTACGAGTTGAGATGAAGCACGCGGACAGGGGAACTAAACATGGTCATGTGAGAATTATGGGTGGCATCTTAAATTCATAAAACCCTTCACCGGTGGAAAATTTACGATTTTTCAGTGATCATAAATTCATGCACTTAAAACAGCAGATATTTCTACTCATGTAACTATATAAGAATCTGTACATACAAGTATATACATATATATATTATAATGGCAGCATGTACAAAGTATGATGTGAAAAAATGAGTACTGGGCAAAAACAAAAGCAGCTTACGACAAAACAATCTCGCAGACACTAAAACTATAGGTGATATCGGTGTTGCCAAGGTTGCTGTTGTTGTCTTTTATGTACATGTACCATGTATGAGACGAGGTGAATTGCTTACTTGAAGTACATCACTCAAGCGAAAGTAAGACGAAATTGAATGCTTCATACCGTTATAAAATACTTAAGCTCCAGTATGCAGTGCTGTCTCCTCCAGTCCCGAGTTAACTAGTTAATGCGTTAAAAATGTTCTATTTAATAAGCATTTAGTAATAAGAGAAATATGTAATTCGACAAATATGTGGGAAAGAAACTGGAAAGCTGTTCTACAATAGAGAGTTATTTAGATAAAATTAAATAATATTTGTATTCGGGAAGAAGAAAAGCTAGCTGTTCAAACTTTCCCCTGACCTTGGAATATGTGTATCTTAGTTCCACAGTTTTTCTTTATATCATATCTAATATTGTATATCAGTCATTAGTACACGTCCCCATCTCGTATCTGCGGAACATAATGTGAGTTTATTCGAAAAGTTGTTGAAATCGGTTGAAATGTTCACCTTTATATATCCAATATAATGAATATTGGTTAAATTATTTCACATACCAGTACGGGTACAAGATTTTTCGAATATATTATACTAAGCAAGAATATTTCAAAAAACATTTTGTGATTCGATGGTAAAAGACTGTGATAGGGTCTTTACTTTCCCTACTGAAACTAAATGAGTGAATTTGAAAATTCGAGAAACTACAGAAAGCAAAGCTCCTATAACTGTTGGCTCATTCCTTACGATGACCAAAAGTGTTTCAAAAATCATGATTCCCATTAGTTCGCTATGGCAAAGTACAAATAACAGTACAAAGGCTCATTTATACAGAGCTAAGCTAACTCCTAGGGGTCGCAATATACCACCACTATGACGGTTATTGTTCTTGTTGGCTTTTGTGACACATGCTGCCACTCGGATATCACTCCTGCTTAAGCTGCTACTGCTGCTACTGCTGTTTCTGCCACAAAGTGCCCAACTAACAACCACTTAGTCTTAGAAGCTGCAACCTATTCTCACAGCTATCCTAGTTGTCACCGCTGCTGGAGATGTTGGTGGGGTCTTGTGGCTTGAGTACAAGCCACAAAAAGTTACGTGAGTTGGTATGTGTGAGTAGAGTCGTGTGTAGTGGTGCGCATCTTTATGAATCAAAATTCAGTGGCGCTGGACATAGTTCGAAAAAAACCGGAGCCGCTGTATGTACTTTTATACTTCCATTGTTTGCTAATGTTTATTTTTTCTTGGGGACGTGTCCGGCGCAGTTGTGTCGTGTTCATTTGTCAGCGCGCCAAGGAATGGGAAAGTAAAGCGCTTCAAAATTATATTCGACAATAAAGTAAAACAAACACATGCACCAACGTGTAAAAGAACTTTTATTTTAGCAACAACCACAGTTCATACACTCGCAAATATCCTTGGGAGAGTTGCCATTAACACAAGCGACATCTTGTGGGGCTGCCACACATGTACACACAGCGCTGTAGCATGTGTGTGGAAGCATGTACATATGTTGAGATATATGTAGGTACATAAATATGAATGGCGAATATATGAGTAGAGGAAAATAAATATTTGCTGCCTTGTGCGGAAAGCCTCCCAGAGCTGATCTAGTTCTTCCAGAAAGAAATGTACCAGAACTGCGGAGTGTGTGTGTTCGATCGTAGGTTTTGTTTGTTCTATACACACCTTTGTTCGTGTGCGAGTTTTCCTTCATTTCAGTCGGCTGCTAAATTTCTTTCATTTTTGCCGTAGCAATTCTGCGCGTTTTATTTTCACTTTCGTCTCAGCTCATGCACGCCGTTTGGGCCAAGGACGCTTTCGTTTATGCCGCCTGCCGAAGATTAATGATTATTAGCTTGTATCCCTGTTGTATCAAAGTGTTATTTTATGAAATCACGACGTGCGCCATATCGCCGCCGACCAACGCCCCTCAGCGGGCTGTAGCCTTATAAATAACAGTAAAATTTCAAACACACATACACACATAAGCATGTAGAGAAATCTAAAAGTCAGACTTAAAGTCGCTTGTGAGCCACAGCTTAGGCCAGTATATACCTATGTACTCGCGTTCGTAAGAAGAAGTTACGTGAATCGCACGAAGGACTTTTTTCTGCTTTCTTAGCCACACATCGGTCGTCAAATGCTTAATGACGTTTATAGGAGAAATATTTATTCTGTTTTCTATTCTTAAATTCACTAATATTGTATATGGCTTAGTATGAGCATTTGATGCAGAATTATCCATGAAATTGGGGTTGTATAGAAGATCAGTTGCTCCACTATCAGATTTTAGGTGGCTTAAACTTTGAGAGGAACCCTCGATGCGTTCACGTTCTTCGAGCTTAAACTCCATTAGCGTTTATTTGAAATCTTATGCAGGAATGTACGATTGTGTGAGTGTGGCAATGTACAGATGAACACACCTATTCTAATCGCAGCGCCGATGCTCTATCCCGCCCCTATTTGCCAGCCATCTGCTCCACCTTGATTTACGCTCCACCTTGTTATGTATTACACATATGTGGGTTTGTGTCATTTCCCATTTATTACTGTATTTTGTGTGGAATGTGTTCACCGACACACACACATACACAGTGTATGCCCCCTAATGTGCGCTTGTATTGGTTAATGTGCGAGTGTAGTAAAGATATAGGTCCGTGAGAATATCCATCATGTCATGCTTCAATGTGTGTGTGTGTGTGTGTGTGTGTGTGTACCGAATAGATGCGTGTACACAGATATTTGTTATTATACAAATGCTGCTCAAACACTCGCACGCGCGGGCACAACTCAATAAATATTTTCAAGATAATTTATATGCAAAACAAGCTTTGACTTCTTTGCCTTGTTGCCGAACTTTTTCTTCTTTACTCGCTTATTCTTCTTCATTTTGTGTATTTTCTGTGTTTTTCGCTAATTTTTTCCTTAAATTTTTTTTTCTTTGCCGAGCTGCCAGCCAACATTAGTTGGTGCTGTCGTTTATTCGGATTTTTGGCTTTTGCTTCAACTTTTTGAGTTGTGGCTTGGGGCTGTGGTTGCGGCTGAGGTCTGGAGCCCCTGTGATTGTGCCAGTGACAGAGTGCCAGCGATGGTTTGTGGGTGGGTGTGTCCTGAAATTGATTTTTTCACACACTACCCATTGCAAATTAACATAAACATATAGACTCACACACATACAAAGACAAACAATATACATGCGTACATACATATGTATGTATGTATGGTATACATATGTATCAAACAAATGAATAAGTATGTAGGCGCTTGCATGTGGGTTTTATAAAATTTATGAGCCCGTTTAAATTGTACTGATTGTTTGGCATTTTATAAATGAAAAGCTTCCCGAAGGAAAATGAGATACACGCAGCCTTCGCAAGGTGAAAGCGGCAGTTTGTGTGTGTGTGTGTGTATTACTGTATCATATACTTGTAGGTCTATAAAGCACGCTTTGGCGCATTTGTAGGAAGCGTTTTTAGGCGTTTTAGGTGTGTGGGTGTATTGAAATTGTGTATAAGGTGTTTAATCAGGTATTCCTTAGTTCTCATAATAAATCACGAGAGACAAAGAAAGGATCAAATGGAAAATTCAATTCACTCATTTACATCGCATCTTTATAATAATATAACTGTTAATGCGTGGCAATATGCGATAGCAATCGGAATTATGTTTGTGTTTTATTAAAGAAGGAAGAAGTCTGAAACTTGGCTGTGCTTGTGCGACACCCTTTACACGAGCTCGCTTGCTTTGTTATTACAATACCTCGTTGTTTTTGTCATTGTTGTTGGTGTCAACGATCATCAATCAAATTTATGAAAATGATAAAATTTGCATAATAGAAATTTAATGATTGTAAATTTTTATGATTGTTAATGAATCGGCGAACCTTTTCAAAAGCTCATAACGTTCCTTCTGATTATCTATACATACTACACACACTTGTATATTATATATTGTCACTCAACTCTGTCTACCGATACTTATTTATGTCCTTCGTGTGCGTGTGTTTCAGGCATATAAAATAAATTACTCCGAGACAACATGGCTATTGTTGTTGTTGTTATTTGCAGCAAGGAAGTGTCACGCTATTTCCACGCCCCTTGAATAAAGGTTTGTGTTGTCATTATTCTGTAGATAAGCAAACGAGTATGTATGCACATAAGAATAAGCAAACGTCACACTCAAGTTGAGATATCACTTTGATGGATTTAATTTCTTTAATTATATTCCTGAAGAACTTGCGGTGCTGAACGCGTGTGTTTGTGTTACGCAACACATTCTCCTTCTGTGTTAATGTGTCACACGCAGAATTCCCCGCTGGCAGTAATGAGTAATGATTTAGGCAGTAACCGGTTTTTTCACTGTGGCCTGGATGTTTTGCTGGTCGACATTTAAATTTGCAGAAGAAGAACTCCAAGCTCCTCGGAGCAAGTTAGCTATTTAGTGCAATTTGAAATGGAAAATACATTTATACATTTGTGTATTTTTATTAAAAACTGTGTATATAAATTTTATTACAAAAACATACATACAAGTATTTCAGTATTTAAGAACTTTGTCGCCATTATACTAAGCCTGATGTCTTCATTGAAATCAAAAAATTGCATACCACCAATGTTTGACCATGCTTGCATTTCAATCTTATTTCGATTTCTTACTATGCTCAATCGTTGCCGGAAGAAATTTCAACGTATAAAGAAAAATTTGCAAGGGTCTATATAACTGACACGTTAGCTGGTTAATTAGTTTTAAGGTTTGGGATTTTTAGCCATAACTTGAAAACAGTTTAAATTTTAAAAATATTTGTCGGGTTGTATTTCGAAAAGTTCTGAATATTTGAGTATTTCTCAATATACGTGACCTTCCCGGAACGAAAAAATGACTGAGTGAAACCCAGAAAATGGAAACCAATGGAGAACGTTTTCCGGCGTGAGAAACAGAACCACCTTACCTCTTCTGATTTTCGCGCTCGCACTCCGCCGGCTCTGAGAAAGTGCGTACAAACGCATTGCACACTTAGTTTACGTGAAATTTTCGGTTAGTTGGAGATTTTCCGCACTTGTAGTGCATACGGTTACGTACTAGCAAGTCTCCATTATCCGCCGGGACGCTGTTTTCGCAATTTGGCAAATGGTTCCACCACATCGCTTTAAAGTTGGCATGAGATACGTGAAATTAGAAAAAAAACTCCTGAAACCAATTTTCCTGAGTAAAGGATTGTTGGAGTTTTGAAAACAAAGTTACACGATTTTGTAACTTTCTTCCGGTGTGAGTCTTTATCCATTGTCTGAGAAATATGTTTAGCTTGACTATTGTTCGTCTAGAAGATTCTTTGGCTCAAATTCGAAGGTGGCAACTCCCATAAAAATAATGGTCGTCTGAATGGATTTACTTGTGTTTTTGCCTTTTACTCAAACAAGTTATACAGAACATTCTGATTATCACATTTACTACATCGTTCTGATCATATTGTGATATACTTTTAAAACTTCCAAACATACGCTCACACAGGAACTCATTCACGTGTTGATATTTAGCTCTTGCGCACATTCCTTTTTCCAGCGGTAGACGGCTGGTGGGACGGACCATCCTCTGAGTTCAACGGGCGGGAATGCACATTTAGGAAGAATTGAAGCCACGAAAGTCTCGCTTCCACTGCATTACACAGGCAGACGGGCTCCTGCTGTGCAGTGGAACGCTTCGACCAGTACCCAAGCCGTATCCCCCCAATCTAAACAACTTCTACACGCTCTTTCACAGCCTACTCGGATCAGTAACTTCGAGTTGCGCCCACCACACGGACACGCATATGCACATGTGATATACACCTCCAACAGCGCCTCCCTGTTGACACATTACTGCTACACTTTGTTGGAATGATGACAGCTCGTCTGCGTGAGCGAATGAGTGAATTTAGTGGTGCTCGTGCCAGCTCCAAACAACAGCATAGCGTAAAAAGCTCTTGGTGGCTTGGTAGAGGCAGGAATACAGTCAGACAATAACAAAGGCGAACTAGCCGAAAGTATGTGTTTGTTTTGCCTGCCGGCTGCCTGGCTGCTTGGATGCCTGCTGCGGTTTAGTTAGCGAACTAAGCAGTGGCTGGAGGCGAGCGACGGGATAGCGTGGTAGTGATTGTTCGGGCAGAGTGTTGGTTTTGCGGTTGCTGCATGCGAGTGCGTTCGACATACACCCCGCTGCACGTAAACATTCGCTTTCAGATTCATTCTTGTGGTCGCGCGGCTTGATGAACGTGTGTGCAACGTCGCCTTCATTCTAACTTTTGTGAGCTCTAGGTGTTTAAGAGGCACGATGTGAAGGAGGCGTAAGGCGCAACTCACACTTCATCTCACGCATCCAAACCCCTCACATCCCTCAGTTAGCTGTTCTCTTGGCATCAACCGAAACAGCAAGAGCACACATTCACTCGGCTTGCGTGTTTTTGCTTTCAGAGAGATTAGGTCATGGCAGGCAACTCGTGCGTACTCATTCAACGTTACTTAAACTATTTTATTGGATTTACAGTTTGCGGCTGCTGCTGTTTTCATTGGTGTTGTTTTTGTTGTTACCGACGACCCCACAGCGTCTCAGCTTGAATATTTCTGAGTCTTTTATTCTTTCTAATTTCATTTTCTCCCCTTTTTTGTCCAGTCGCTGCATACTAAACTCAGTTGAATGTTTGGCGAACGTGGTGTCAAATTGCTGACAGCATTTCGCCCTTTATTGAGTGCGCGCAATTTCCTCGACTTTGTTTTTCTCGCATTTCATGACTTTTTCTGCTTCTGCACTTTCGGCTGTGAAGCTTCTACCAATTGAAGTTTCTTTGTGAATCCATATCTTAAAAAATTGTTTACATGAACCCACCTAAGTTTCCGCTAAGTTGTGAAAGTCAGTCTACTTTGCAGGCTTTGAAACTCCTTTTTGTTCACAATATTCTCCTCTAACTCGCTTTCCAAAGTCGAGTAACTTTTTAAAATAAACAACAAACTGTAACCTCTCACAAGATTATCGAATGGACCACAAAACCACAAATCGTCCTAATTTGGCTTTCTTCTCGGGGTTCTTCCACAGCAAATGTAGCAAATTCAAATTTAATACGAGCGATTGCAACGAGGAATGTAAAAATATTTGTACTCACACATTGTTATCAACCCATATTGGTTGACCCAGATGTATCCAGGCACAAAGAGCCCTGTTGGAAAGAACTCGCAACTTGCTCGCCAACATGAACAGGACTGAACTTTCTTTGTCCTGAAGATATTTAAAAAATCTTAAAAAATTTACAAAAAGTTTAACCTATGAGCTTGCAAAATATTTATTCATCATCTTACATAGACATGGAATTCCACAGATAAAGTAGCCAAGGAAAAGGCCGACTAAGCTTTGCAGCAGGGTCATTGTGGAGTCTTCGTGCTTCTACATATTTAAATATAAAGCAAAAACACAAATCAGAATATTTATTTGTGTGCCTTCATATTTTTTGTATGTAATATTGTTGGAAACAGATGTAGAAAATGAGTACGGTGGGGTTAAATTCAACTGAAGCCGTTCTCTGGAAGCCCGGCTAATGGTATAGAATTTTACCAAATGAAAACGACAGGTTCTTAAGTATTAAACATATAAGAGCGTATGGCTTATATATATGGCCTGTTTAAGGCCTATACAACAATTGAGTTTTTAAATCAGTAAAGATCAGATGTGGAGCTCATTCAGTGGAACCTTTGTATGTGAACATCAAAAGTGGCGAGCAAGTACCCAAGGCATTCCACTTTCCTTCGAAATTGACGACGATGCAGTGTCAAGCGAACTTGGACTAGAACCTACAGCATACATAGCTCGCCCAGTCTTTACAGCTAATTACAAACAGCAATACTACCCTTAGGAAATATGGCCCGGGTAACCGCGTGTGTATGCCAGCGTGTACACAGAACGATAGAGAAAAAATCGAAAAGTAAAATAATACAAGAAAATTGGAAAGGAAACAGAGAGTATACTTTATGTAAACTGCATAACGCATTACTGCTATCTTGCAACATTGCAACATTGCAACAAAGTTCTTTATCTGGACCGAAATTCGAAATTCGAGCTGCGAGTATGTAAATGGGCAAGAAAGCAAATAAGTATGTTTGCAATATAGCCCGCAGGTCTGGCGTTTTGGCACGACATGGTTTGGAATTTGTCGTTGGAATGCGGCATCGGGTTGCATAAATGTATGCCACATCATTTGTATTAGAGAATAACTTCTGAGAATCGCATTTTCTTTACTGAACTTTCAATGAGTTTACAAAACCAAACATTTCTTTCACAATCTAAGCGCAAATGTATAAATACCTACTTGTTGTTTTATTTGTTTTTGTTTGTTCTGTATTGGCTTTGTGCAAAATTTACGGCAATGCGCTGAAGTTGAAAGCAATTGGGAAAAAGTACACAAACACACATTTGTTTTTACATTGCGCCCTAATCCGATAAGAACCGAACACCTAAGTTATTAGTTTATTCATGGCTGGAGTTATATTATTTGGCAGGCACACAAGCGCACAGAAACACACACAATGCAATGTGCGACCCGTAAGCACAGCAAAGATCCGACTAAGACTTTATCCATCTGCGCTTAAAGGCGCTCGAAATTGAATATTTACAATATACCGTTATATACCATACATACATACACATACATGACATTGCTTGCGGTGTGGCGCTTATGGTTTTTGTTTCGAAAACTTAAAAGCCTAAATTTATGGAATATACGTAAGAGGATGTCCTCGTCGCCCTCAACGGCCAGAAAGCGGCTACTTTCACACTTGCCAGCCGTAAAATGAACACAGAAAGCAATAGAGGCGCAGCTGCGAAGGTAACGAGCGCAACTTACCACAGGGCGAAACAGGTCCTGCTGGCACTGGGCATTCTACGGCTATTTTGCTGCATTGGACCAAAAGCTTTTGGTGCTGTGATGATCTGGAAATGACGAGGGCCCTAGGAACTGACACATTGACTGGCCGGTGTTAGTTTGTATTTTTATCCTACGAAGTAAGCTGAATTTAATTTCAATGTACATTCGAGTACATATTTACTTGCAGAGCCATATAGTGAGAGACATGTCGAGTTGATATCAAAGGTTGTTGGCAGAAAGTCATGTGTATTTCCATAAGAAAATTATAAGTCAAACTTTACCAACCGATTTTCGATACCTGATATTTACGATTTGAAAAAAATTACACCAATAAGTATTCCTCTGATTTCGACGGCAATGTCATAATTTCAAAAGTAAAATTTTTAATTATTTTTAATAGGTCTTTCATCAGTTAAGTGTTTCTGATCGAGATGGAGACAGTGCTAGACCAACATGCACCGACTTTCTCTCTCTGCAACTACAATATTTTGTTATGATTGTGAACACCAGCTTTGATGTCAAGACGCGGATAAATGTTTTTTCCTACCCTTGAGGCGAATCTGTCCAATATCCACATAATATACTTGACACCGTATTATCTGTGCTTGGTTTGCCTATAAAGCTAAGTTATTCGAATATCTGTCTGATTTTTGTATTATATAAAAATTTAATCTCTCGCTGCTGTACGAGTATTCAAAGACTTTCTTCGAACAGTCCAGGTACAACAATTATTACATTAAACAAAAAGGTAAATTAACTAAAACACTAACAAATTTACATATTTATATTTAGAAACTAAAATCTGCATTATAGTTTGCATTGTTAAGGCGTTTGGTTAGAAGAGAATCTCGAGATATCTAAAAGCAAATCCGAAATAACTGAAAGTTACCAATAAGAGCGTTATGATATGTCCTTTTGTCTCGCATTTTTGAAAATTTGTGTGTTGTCTGTCTATACGTACATACGCGTTCTCATAAGAGAATTGTGCCATCCATTATCTGTAAAATTGGAATGGAATTAATAATGGTGAACTCGCAGCATATAAACATTTAAACATTCCCCGCAGGAAACGTTGACAAGAACTCAGCGACTTAAACTTTGGAAATATTCTGTGCAAAGTTTCCTAACTCCCGCTTACCGAGGAAGGTGAACCGGCTTCAGCTTGGAATTAAGACCGTTTTAGGCTCGAGTTACACTTAGAACGGTAAATCTAAATTGTATAGATATTAAATAACTATTAAAAAAACACAATTATATAAATTAGAAATATAAAATTCTTGCACTATTTAAATATTAAAAGTTGAATAATATCCCTGGTGCAACCAAATCTATTGGAACTATAAATGAGAGAGAGAGTATTGATCATTGCAACCTTAACTTCGTCAATCGACTTCGACTTTTGGATAATAACATGTAGACCAATAGGTAATACTGTCTGGTGCATTGGGACCAACTGGCTTTAAACTAATGTATTTCCCTACAGGGTACAGAAATATACTCGTATGTAAGAGGCGCACACAGAGCCGTATTTTCGAGTGCCGTAAGTTAGTGCCGACAAAGGGAACTTGTTGACAATGAATTTGGCAGTTGGCAACGATTGGCAGCATTTGGCGGTTGGCAGTGAATCAAATCAAACACACAGCCGTCATACACACATATGTTTATTGTTGTTGTTATTGCGATTGCGTTCCCTGCCACAATCGTATTCGTATCGTAATCGCATTCAAATTCACAAATTTCGATTGTCAACGCAGTTGATGCTGCCAACAAATGCAGATATGTCAAAAGCGAAAAGTCGCTGTTGTTGTTGTGGGAACTGCTGTCGATTATTCGCTGATTGACTGGCGTACGCAAAGTGGCAGTGATTTTCGGGTAACTTTGATACACTGTAAGCTACTGCATACCCATTTGCAACTTGTTGGAGTGGTGTTATTGTTGTGTCAATTGCATGTAAAACTGAAATTATTGACATTCTCATCTTTCGCTGCCGTCTTGTATACCTCGTCGTAGAAATAATATGTGTGTGTTACCGTTATTTTATTTAGTTCTACAATATTTTTACTACTTTCGTCCACCATACAAATTCAGGCACAAATGTCTCCTTGACCAACGCTGCAAGCAATCTCCTCCCCTGCAGAAAATGTTATTAACAAAAGACATCCCTTCTACTGCCATTGTTATGCAACATGATTTCACCATAAACCCAATAGAACTGTATATGGCTAGTTCATTGCTGTTTCTCGTCTTGTATTTCTTGAATCCCTCGGCGGCATGAAAAAAACGAGCAGGTGAATATGTATGTAATTTTGATTTATTGCAACGCTGCTTACTTTGGTTTGTCACAAGCGAATGGGAAATGAATTAAAATCGGAAAAATTTACATTAAAACATTAAATATGTATGGTTGTATGTACATATGTATGTAAAGCCAGTTACAGCAAGTCTACATAAAAACTAAATTAGAAATCTGCATTGGCGCAGGACGCAGAGGCATCTCGGTATTTGAGGTTTCCAGTCGTGTACTACATACATATATACTGTATTTGTGGACGTGAATGTGGCGGAGCGGCTGGTTGGTCGATGGTTTGGAGCACGCATCAGCTTGTGGCTTGCGGCTCCCTTGTGCTTCCCGCCGCAGTTGTTGAGTTCAGCGGGAACATGGTTTTGATATTAGCATGCGTACATTTGCGCCGGAGTTCCGCCGAGTGCGACAGGTTACGGCTGCAACGCCACCTTTCTTATATCCACTTCAGCTGGCACCACGGGTGGCCGAACTTCAATGCCGCGCACTGGCTGTCGGTCCAAGTGATGAATTACTTTGTAAACTTCACTTCTATTCAAGTCGATTTTCTTTTCAGGCTTTTGATACTTCATGAAGTTGACTCTGTATGTGTGAGCATTGTGGTGGCCGACATGCGCCGACATACGCCGAGCACAGCAGAAAAAAGCACGAACACGAAATAAATGGAATAAAATAGAGCATAAAGAGAAATTATTTTCAATATGAAGCAAGTTGCTATGCAATAGTTGTAGCAATTGTACAGACATAATAGAAATGAGGAAAACGGTAAAAAAGGTGAAATGTTGAAATGGTAGAGTGGAGTGGGGTGGAAAAAGTATGAGTAAAATGAAAAGCATGTCGATAAAAACTATTGAATGTTGAATGAAATAAAATAAATTGCTTGGTGAACAGGGACTTCAAACTGCCAGTCAGCTGTTCAGCTGGTCTAACATTGCGCTGACCCGAGCCCTGAAATTACATGCGAGCAGCACGAAGTGGGGGAAAGGGAGGGAGAAAACATACAGAACAAACAAACATTAAAGCACATGAATGAAAATTTGATTGAAGTGCAATTGATTGTTCATCACTCTTTTCCATAATGATGGTGCGCGCGTGTGTGTGTGTGGCATTTATTGTGTCGATGACTATGCAGCATTTGGATTAACATACAAGTATAATTCGAGAGTAGAAGACTGCGCTATCGTTGATTTCTTTTTGTGAATTGTCGGAATATCAGTTGAAACTGCAATAACTTTTATTCAAAATAATTTACAAAAAAACAAAATCATAATGGATTTTTTTACCGTTTGTAAATTTTTTTTTAAACACATTTTAATAGCTGATTACCTGGAGAAGAGGCAGCTGTCATTTTTTCCGCGTGTCTGAAACTTTTCACTTTATAATAAAGCAACAATGAGAACGTTATATTTACAAGCGACAATCAGTGTAAACCTTTCATTTGCTACAAGGGCTGCATCACAGCTTCAAACCCGCACACAAGAAAATATAAACACAATACAACTGGGCAGATTGGAGTATCGTTGTAGTGGAGTCGTCCACGGCGGGCAGACAGTGTGGCGATAATCATGATTTGTAGGGATATTTATATCAAAACCGAGAACCTATTTTTCCAGCAGGGTAGTTATTGGGATGTGAATTGACCTTAACAAGTTACATTCGATTTACTTTTCAAATAAACAATCTCCGGCAAAACATAAAATAATACAGATTATTCTATTCATTCGCATGAAGACTTTCTTATTTATTCTGAGCAGCGCGGCAGCTCAGTAAATATCTTACATTGTATGAAGTTCCAACATATTGCCGACCTTAGCAAGGTGTGTATGAACTGCCATATGTAAACATGAGTGCACGTCCATATTGAAATCAGGCGAAGGATATTGAGTTGCGATCTTTGTGCAGCACTCTGCCAATTAAAAGTTACTAGTTTCATTTCCTTAGCAAAATAGCAAAATGAATTTCCCTTAATTCAACTAGATAAATAGAAAGTGCCAATTTAAACTTCGGGTGAATAAATATGAACTATAGGCAAAAAAAAAAAACAACAAAGCTATTCAAAGGCTGATGAAACTGCACTCCCTTCCATCCTCAGTCGCAAGAGCATGAAATGAATCCATTAATTGGCAAATAAATGTGTAATTGTTGCTGCTATTAAAAAATTGGCAAATATTCACATGAAAGGCTGCATAATACATAGAGCAATGAATGAGAAGTGAACATGAATCAAAAGTAAATTGAATGTAAAATAATATCACACATATAACATACAAATCCAACGGGTTGAGCATATGGACAATTTGCTTGGAGCGCCGCCTTTCACTAAATGGCAAATTGAATCGTGGCTCAAAGGAAGCGAAGGTCGAGCAGAAAGCCTTAATCAGGGTATTCCGAAGATAGCGCTCTTATATTCACAAGCACAAAACGTTGTATAAATTAATATTAAATGAGGGATAGAGGTTTGTCTGCTCACATAAATCATTTCATGCATACCTTGGGTCGTAGCCAAGCAATGGACTTTCAAATGTGCAACTGCGATGGTAATATTATATTTATGTAAATGCCGATGAGTCCCGATTAATGCAGATGTGGTGGAATGTGCGCACAAATAGCGTTATGTTCATGTAGTTGATGTTTGGTTGTAGTTGTTGTTCAAATACCACAGGTCATGAGATCGATATGAAAGTAAATGAAATGAATGATATGTAAAAATGTTGTTAATAAAATAATTGTGCAAATATCAAGCGTAACTGCGTATTATTACTAAAATCATTAAGTTATTCATGAAATTAATGTAATACAGTTACATAGTCCCGAAGTCAAAATTATATTTAATTTAGCTGTCAATGGGTTGAACCAATTTTACTAATAAACTTTATCTGAATAGTGATCGAGCTTGAGATGGGCTTTTTGCTGAGAATCGGACCCAAAGCAAATAATACCGTATATAGGTATAATATGATAACTGTTACTATACATTCGTAATTCAAACTCAGGCAAAAGTCAGAAAACGTTTTTTAATTTGTCATCTTTCTTCGTTCTAAGTTGTATACTTTGTACTACTAAATTTTAGTTGAGCACCAAAAATTATCTTACTTTCCGACGGAGGAACCTTGCATTCAACTACTTCGTTAAAATTGCTACTAACAAAAGCAAGCTTTCGTGTTTCACTCTCAAAAATATTAAACATAAAGAGCGAAAAGAACATACGTTTTATAACATGGGAAAGAGATGATTTTTTTTCTCCTATGTGTTATTATATAGAAATAATATGAAAAAGTTTAAGAGCAATTAGCCCTTAATTTTTCAACTTTCTAGCGTATTAAGAGTTTCAACAAAGAAAGAAGAAAAGGCCTTATGAATATGGTATTTATTTAGTTTTAGTAGAATTCGCAAAACGTATGTTACAAGTATATTCCCTAAGTGTGGTTATATATGTGTCTTGGTCATAGAGATAGCGTTTAAAAAAAACTTTAAAATAGAGGTGTGTAGCAAATAATAGTTACCCTAATGTAGTGCCAGTTATGAGTTCCGCTTGTGCACTCAAGGTTTCCGCTATGAACTCATCGTTGTAGGCATCCTTGGGTCGATACCAACGCCTGCCGCCGGGCAATACAAGAGGTCGCTCGGAAGATGGTGTCAATGGGCCAAAGGCACGTTTTGAACGACGGGGATTGTTTTTGCGCTCCAACTGCTCTTCGAGTTCCTCGATCACATCGTTGCGCTGCCAGTTTCGAGGCCAGTTTTATGTAATTTACGATCATTTCAAACTCAAACAAATATACATAAAGCGGGTATAGGTTATAGATATGTGTACGAGTGTGAAGAAGTTAGTGCCATTCGGCAATTCTCATGAGATAATTGAACGGTTACTTTAAAATTTAATTTTTCTTTGTGAGTTTATGTCATGCGAAGGAAAACGAAAGCTGTAGTCTGGTTTTTGTTTAATTTAAGTATTTATTTTGTTTTCGGAAAGTATATTTTTGCTAAAAGTGATAAATTTTTGATAATTCGGTTGGATTTTGAGAAGCTGCCGATTTGGTTAAAGCACGCTCTTGCTTAAATTCTCATCTTCATAATTCAAAGCGTACTGTTTGCCGCTGTAAAAGACCAAAAGCTTTAAATAGGGCTATTATTTAGTGGATAATAAGATATTTGAAATTTTTTAGGGTTAAGTTATTGATTGGTTCAGGTTCCACAAAATGTGCTCGATAGTCAAAAGTCGATAATAATAAATAGTTATGTCTTCAATAGAAGTTGAACAGAAAGCAGGATAGCTAATATTGGTATGTTTGACTATAAACATATTCCTATATGCACAACCGGCACTAATAGAGGTTTTCACGAAGGATTTTAATAACTAGATTATTTCAATATTATTCCCTTCCACAAAGTCCACATATCTGAATCTATTTATTAAATCGAGGGTCTACTAAAATCGCTCATTAACTTTACAACTTGAATTTCTATACTGGCAAGTATTTTGTGTAACTAGGAAATCACATTCTTTGATAAAAATTAGTGTTACCAACCTTTTGTTTCTTCACATTCTGCTCCTCCTCCATTTGTTGCGTATCTTCTTTATTTTGTTTTGCCTCCTGAATCTTCGCTGCATCCAAAGTGGTGGCATCGGTTGCAACGCTTTCTCTGACATCGTCTGCAACCACAGCAATATTCTCAGTAACTCCTGAACCATCCTGATCGCAACTGGAGTAAGCCTCATGTGCTGTAAAGGGATGAAGACCTTTGATTGCATCATGCTTCCTATTGTGCTTTCATATCTTAACATTAACTACACACAAACATAACTTACTTTCGCTTTCTCCTTTGTTAACTTCAGCGCCTTCGTCAATATTTTCTAAATTAATAGAGCGCGTCTCAGCTGAAGGTGGAACGGGAGCCAGCGATGGCTGAGTTGCGGTCTGCAACTGGAAGGCTGGCAAAAGTGTTGCCAACTGCTTTGTGACTGCGTCGAGGGTAGATTGTATGGTGGAGGGCAGGGAAGAGAGTGCGGCCAATTGGCGTTGCACATCGGCCAGTTGACGTTCAAGTGCTAGTTCTTCTTCGGATTTTTCACGACGGGGTAAGGAGTTTTCAGGTTCAGTAGAAGCTCCTGACGTAGCTGCAATATCATTTGCTGTTGTAGATTCTTCAATTTTATCTTCCAATATGAGTGTCGTCTCGTTTGTGCACGATATTTCCTCGTTATTGCTTTGAGCGTCTTCTTCATTTCCTGCTTGGTTATCAGCAGTCAATGTTAGCTTTTCAAGCGTGTCCACTTGCTGACCTTCTTTGTCCTCAGCTGGTGATTCGACTATAATTTGTATATCCTCCAAATTAGGCAATTCGCTGTCCGCTGGTGGAGGCTCTTCAATTTCTTCAACCTTTGGTGGTGACGGTTGTTTACTTTCTACTGACATCGTTGGTTCAACTGGCTGTGTCGGTGGTTCGATTGGTCGTGGCTAACAATGAAAGTTAATTAACAGAAATAGTAGGATATCTCCAGTTTAGCAATTTACCATCGGTGATACTGAACGCGATTTTGGGGCTGACTTAACTATCTTAACCTTGTATGCATTGGCAGCTCTGCGTTCGGCCTCGATTTGTTCCTTGCTCTTCGGTATGGGACGATCCGGTTTCACCAGAAACGTTGACCACTTTTTGTTTTCTTTTTCTTTCTCTGCTCTAGTTTTGGTTGCATCTTCGTTGAGGGTTCGCAACACATCGCTGGTCATACAGACGCCAGGCTTGGGAAAAAGTCTGTAGAAATTGACACTAATGTAGTATAGATTAACAAATAATCATGCAGATATTGTAAAGGAAACGAACCCCAAAACATTATGGTCCGTTAGGACCTCTGATTCACCCGAAAGTACCGCAGCGATTTCTTCTTCCACCAACTTGATTTCCGATTGTTCCGAAAGCACCGACGACGGTCGTTCTGGAAGCTCAGGTAAAAGTTCTGTCTGCAGCTCTGCTTCATCTTCCAGTTGACGAGGAATAGGGCTCTTACGTCCACTCACATCGATGAAAGTTTGTGGTGATGTGGGGCGTTCAGCTCCGTAAACAGGGAATATCTTCGGCACCAATTGCTCTTCGCCCTCACTGCGGAGCAAATATGATTAGAATTTAAAGACCTCTCAACTCTCCACAATGATCTTGTACTATCCATTTACCGTTGAACCCCGATGTAGAACACATTTCCACAGTGCCTTATTACCTTGTCTGCCTCTTCGTGTGTCAGTGGTGAGATAGCAGTGTCGTTAATGCGTACAATGACGTCACCTTCACGCAAACCGGCTTCCTCGGCTATGCTGCCCTCATTGACCTAAATTAATGAAAAAGTAATACGAAATATATGTAAATCAAACACCTGACAAGGGGCTCCTTCACAAACGAGAGAACTAAAACTGAAAAGGAATAATAACATTAAATTCCCTCTCGCACAGTCGCCGCACTGAGTCAAGTGGCGTACTGTTTGCTAGGTCAGTGTGTTAATTTCGGCAATGAACTTTTTCACATGTCCACATTGGGCCCCCCCGAGAAGCGCGTGACTGCGAATGCGACAGCCTCATTTGTTTGCGCTCTCACTTCGCGTCTGCTGCTGCCTCGTGGCGGCATTGAATGAAAATGCTCTTTCCTTCTTGGTTTCCTTTCTATTTATTTGCCTGTCTGGCTAGACATTGAAGTATTGCGCGTTACCCGATTGACAGTTGTCGGCTCAGCGATAGCGTGCGGCGCAAGCAGCAACGGCGAAGCGCTCACCTCGATGCCGCTACCGCTTAGCAAGAAGCACGCCAGAGAAGCTATGAAACAGTGTGTACACAAAAGTGTGGCAATGAAATACGAATAATGCAAATGCGCAACGGGACAAAAGAAACTCGAAGTTGAATGCAAAACAATGAGTGATAAAATGGTGTACGCACTCAGATTTGCGCTCGGAGAAATTTCCCAAGGCAGGTATATTAAAAGTGTAGAAGCACATAAATTTAATCTCACTTTTTTCAGTACCAATTAAATTGTCGCAACTTGTTCGTAGGAACCACCTCTCAATAATACATTGCTGATGCATTTCCAAATAGAGTTAGCTGACTTCCCAGGCAATGTTCACACAAGCTCTTTAAGTTTAAGACGTATGAGAGAGGCCTACTTATTTTTAATTATATGGAAGTATATCTTTTAAGTCTATTTACTAATTGATAGAGAAAGTTAACACTTTTCAAATACTAAAATCGTAGACATTTTTAGCTAATTCGCTACAAATTATTCGAAAAAAACTGGAAGTTCTATAGAATTTAATTTTCATACTTTGAGAAAACTTTTTGTCTACTCTCTTAAATTATGTATGCCATTCTTGGGGAATACTTCACGAATTCGGATATATCCTCTTTCATATTCTTTAATTAAAGCGATTTTATTCCATGTTTCTTTGTTCCACTTCGCTTCAAGTTCACTTTATTTGATACAACACGCCTTAAATTTGTTCTCATATAATCATGCCTGTGTGAAACGGTGAGCATAAGGTATGTAATTAAAAATACAAACGAATGCAAAGAAGGTAGTACATGTGAGTGGATAAGAGAGAGCATAGAGGAGTGTGGGCATTCATGCGAAAGTTAGCTGACAATAATGGCGATGTGATGATTGATGGTTTGACAGATTGGAAAGAGAGCGGGGTGGATGGTTGGCCGACTTTCTGATTAAATAAAGGCAAAGCAGCGACAATGCAAGGCGATCCTTTGCACGGCTTTCGTTCATTTGTATAACTGTAAATATGAGAGTGGGTGTGTCTATGTGTAGATATCCGTGCGTGTCTTATCGTATTGTACAGTTATACGCATATACAGTCACCCACACACATGTGCACTGAAATAAAGGCGATAATAAGCGCATTTGAGTTTGTATGTGTGCGTTCACCGCACTCTTGCGTGTTAATTGGCAATAATAATAAAATATTTTATGGCCTGTTAATGTTAACGAAAAGTCATTTTAATTATTATTCCATTTGTCGCCATGCTAGCTAGCAAGTGGTCCTTAACATTTTTCTTCATAGCAAAATTCACAATAAAGTTGCAGCATTTTGCCATTTATTGCCAACATCGTTGAAACCGAGTACTTTAATTCTTCAGCCACACACACGTCGAACTAACACGCGCACGTATTTACGCACACATCAACGCAGCAGCGAACTTTTCACTGTAGTTACGTAATTCCATTTGACCACACAATTTTTCATTGTTACATTTTTCGCTTCACTGCCTTGGTAGCAGAAATTCCAGAAACCCGAAATGGCCAAGCTGATGCCTCGCCGGCTTGGCCAATGGAGCGCTCATAATAAATAGAATTTCGATGGCATAAATCCGACTTTGCGTGTCCTACGCGTCTACTAACCTTAACGACCGTCAGCGGAAATTCGAAGTCCGCACCGCCGACCAAACGAAACCCCCAAGGCACGTTTTCGAAGCGACACATTTTAATATCGATCACCATTTTGTATGTTTCAATTTATGCTCCACTTCTTGCACCAATATTGATAATATATTTACGACGATTAATAAATTTGCCGTGCAATTAGTTTGCTCTCGGTGTTAGCCCAGCTACTTGGCTAGCAGATGCTATAGCGGTGTAGTGAATTGGCAACTGACGCGACGACGGCGATGACCATCGGGCGACTACTTGCCGCTTGCCTGTTGGCGCTTATCGATGAGTATTGCTCTGCCGGCAGCCGATGTTGCTGTTGTTACTTGTTGCATCGTCTGAATTGCTGCTCCTGCTGTAAAGTCACGAACCTCTCGCCTGCCATTCGTTTCCTCATTTTCTAGCCACACAACAAACTACACACAAGGGTACGCTCACACATACGCAACTTCGTTAGCTTGCCGCTGGCTGATAATGAAATTTATGTCGTTGAGTGTGACCGGCTGGCTAATAAACTGGGTCCCGCTAACCGCGAGCCTGTCTGTGGGACAATCAATACAATTTGCCGTGTCGACGTGACTGGCTGACAGCAATTTCTCATTGATTAGGTACTAAGATGTTGGCGATAATTTATTTCTGTTGCTTTGGCATTTTCAGCTCTAATGCGTTCACCGCAGTTTGTGTCTTCTTTCTCAATCGCTTTATTTGCCACGTTTATTCATTTTCTATTGGTTCGCTCATTTAGTATCGCATGGCTTCTGCATTTCGTTATTTGGTTGTGACACGAATTGCTTGCCAGTTTTTGCGGAACTCAATTCGATTTATTTTACTTGTATTGCAATTTCTCACGTTTGGACTTAGAGTTTATTGTAAGGGCCTTGTTATCGGCGATAATCGGAAACAAAATAGAGGATTGTAATCTTCGTGTCGTTAAGTATCAGATTCTTACCGCCCGGAGGTACTACTGAAGCTCGGTTTTGCAAAGATTAAAAAGAAAGTACCTGAGTGGGTCACTCAAGGGAGCGAAAATCATTAGCTAGTCATTTTCCTCAACAAGACATTTAACACTATATAAAAATATGGTGGCATATATGTATATGAAAGATTGACATCAGAGCGAGTATCAAAGGGATTAGAACACTTAGTCTACTAGCAAAAATGCATTTAATTTAATAATCTCTAGACGAAGAGCGACATTTAGAGTCGAACTGACGGAGAGCTTAACTCATCTCTGGAGATCTTCCACTTTCTTAGCTGCCACATAATATTCTTGTCTCATTGGTTCTGGCGGTCCCACAACGTAATAGCTTAAACATAATACGGGCGACGACGAGTATTTGTTGTACTCGGCGACGCCGTCAGTGACAAGAACACACAATTGTATATGAAGATGAACACAATACGCGACGGTGGCGAATTTCGCCCACCATGACGATTTTTGAGTAGAGCTATTTCTAATTTTATCGCCGACCGCGGATGAAAAAAAGGCAACACCAGATCAATAAAAAGATTACTTTCGGTTAAAATCTTAAGAATTTTCAAAAACAATTTAAGAAAATATCTGTGTTGGTAATATTAAGATTGTTTATGTTTGGTTTCGTCATTTATTGTGATATTTTTAAGCGCGGAATACACACTAGCTGCGACGAAAATCGTTCGTATTGTGTTTTACACGGCGGCAACACTCGGCGAAAATTCATCCGACGGCGTCGTCGATTACGACGAACATTCTACAATTTACTTTCTCTTTCATTTGTCCTCCCCTTTTCTTGTTTTCTTAATTGTTATGCAAAGAGCGCGACAATTTTCCACAGACAAAGTGCTACTTATGTTCTCGCAATCCCGCAACATTTTTAAGCTCAAACTTGTAATAATTGAAGCTTCAGTGGGGAAGTGAGAAATAATACAAAAACAATTACTTGTTATTATCTGCCATAAACTTTTGCACACTTTGTATTGTTTTTAAGTTACGAAAACAATCGTTTCAACACTTGTGAATGAAGTAGAAAACTAACTCATGCATATCGCTGTCTTTATGCAACCGCTGTCATTGTGCATACAGTATGTATCAAAACTATTCACAGTTTAAGTCATATTCGTAAACGAAAAATACAATATATAATTATAGCCCATGGAGCCTCTCTAGCAGCGCTGATACAAATACATACTGAACTCTGACTAATCAGGTTCATGTTCTTGGCTTGCCATTTAGGTGTGCCGATACAGGCCAGATTTGAAGCCACACATTCCGGAAGGACTGAAACCTATCTTATTGGACATTTCAGCACAGAAGAAACTACTATATATCTCGCTACTTTTGGTTCTCTGGTACCGAAAGTTTTCTCCCAAATGTAGTGATTGACTTTTGGTTGGCACTGTATGCAGTTGCCACAATCAAATTTGCATATTTTTCTGTGACTATAAACCTCAAAAACGGACCCGAAGTTTTTGACGTTCGCATAAATAAATATTTGTTTAGGTATATGTGTGCGCTGTGTGTGTGGCCATTTTCGTATAAAAAGCGAAAACATTTTGTTCAGTTGTAAACAAGAAGTTTAACCCTTTTCCACTACAAAATTCGAGCAAATTGTTTTCAAATATAAAACACAATCCTTATGCTACGGACTGGCTCCTAAACATATGCAACCATTTGCATTTCAACTACGTCCACTCGGACTATGGACATGTGGCTACACCAGTGCTGTGCGGCAAGCCCGAACCTAACACAAAAGACATTCGCACACAAACAGCTGAGTAAATATGGCAACAGTATGCGAAAAATACAAAATACGAAATACAAAATTGTGGTTGTGTTGTGTCGCACACATACATGCATCAAGTATTTGTGTGCTTTTCTCCTCTTTGCATTTATGCTGCGGTTGTGTAACACTAAGCCATAGGCACTTTGTCAACTTTTATAAAATTTAACGACTTTTGTAGGAGTTTTATGTGAACAAAGCACACTCAACTACACCTCACACAGACGGGCATATGTAAACAAGATGTGCAAGCAAATATTATATTTAGGTGGACATTTACATTTATATAAGCCCGAAAGTGTTCGTAATAAAGTTGGCAGATATTGTACAGATTTGTTCTAATTGAAAACTACCTGTAATTGTTAACAGGCAAAAACGAGGAATGCAACTTCTGTCAATTTGCCACCGCACAAATTTTAATTGTCCTAGTTGCAACACTTCTACTGCTTGTATGTGTGTGTGACCTGTTTTTTCGGGCTTTCAACCGCAGCTCTTGCAGAGCGCTTTATTTGGGCGCTTTGATTACAAGTTATAAATTACATGCACAGACTCCGAACGCTTTCAAATTTATTTATTTAATTAATTAACTTATGTCATGCGTTATGAATCAAGAGTATTAAAATTCACAGACACACGCGCACACACGGACGTGTTTCGCCTGTAATTTTCTATGAATTTAATAACTATGCAAGGAGCGTTCGTGCGGCAGAAACGATTTGTGTTACGAACACGTACAAACCCTTAACAAATTCGTGTTTGCAAAAGTATCAAAGTGACCTAAATGCATTTCACCGAATTCGGGACTTGCTGCTAGAGCTAAATTTTTACTGTCGAACTGACAAAATTGGATTTTTTAACACGAGGCGATTTTTGCTAATATGAGTGTTATAGCTCGTACCTAGAGGCTCATACGAACCCTATGAGCGAAGCATGTGTGTTCGGAGGCTCTCGCTTGTACGGTTATGTACAAAGATGCCACTGCAGCAGATGAACAAATGGGAAAACAATAATGTTGCTGACAGCTTTTAGGAAGCTGCTGAGCATTTGCAAACAGTCTAAAAGTTAAATTATGTTTCATATCATATCAGCTGCAAACTTTAGTTCAAGCCACTTCGTGCCGCATAAAGTCCGGCTCGGTTATATCCTGCCCGATGGCTGCAGTAAATGTAGTGTGAATTGAAGTGTCTGGGCCATTGGCGTTGTAATTTTAGCTTAAGCTTAAAGCTGCTTCGTTACTGCTGTTATTGTTTTTTTGTTGTTGGCCTCCTAATCCGACTGCACACATGCATGCAGTTCCTGTGTGTCCACAAATCCAGGCATATGCTTTTCGGCCGCTTCAAACTGCTCTGCACTTGCTCGCCTGCGAGCGGTTTCAGCTTGATTTGGCAACTATTAAGTATTTAGTATTTAATTAGTTTGTATAGTTTACTTGTAACTAATAACAGTTAATATTTAAAAAGCATTACAGCAAATTGTATTTAGTAACCTAGGCAAGTTTAGGTGAATTATAACCTAGATAAGTGAATAGACTTAAGTAATATAGTTATATGTATATATACTCGCATTAAGTATTAGTTGTTGCAATACGGAATTAATTCTGCTGAATATGTCGTTTTTTTTGGCTAGCCACTAGAGACTGCAACTGAGACTAGCAAAATATTTAATAGTGCAACGAATACGCATTACGAATTTACTTTCTAAGACACTCATACGCACTTTCCTCTTTTTTCCTCTTATGGTACTGAGTGCGTGAGAGGTGAATTCACTGACTTCGCTTTGTGTTAGGTCGTCGAAATAAAGCGATGCAAGAGTTCAAAATTTGTTGGTTTTCCAAACTCATTTTGGTTCATGTCTTGCTCTAGATCTCAGGAAGCAGCTTTCTTTGAGAGAACATTTTCAAATTTATTAAATTATTCGTACACCAGATGAAACCCTTGACTGGCATAAATGCTTAGACTTAAATCAATAACTACATGTGAAGGCATTGACAATTAAGAAACGCTCATTAGTGTCGATGTGCTTACGATCGAGTACAGCCTTACGCTCTCGTATAAACTTTATCAGACGATAACTTAACTTGAACACATTTAAAACGGCCAGTTTACACATGCGAACAGGAGCATTTCAGCACTTTGCGACATGCAACAAATTTCAAACTAAGTGCCTGAAGTAACGGTGCAGAGCATAAAATGCTAAGCCATAAATTTTTATTTGGAAACCATTTCCCAGCAACCGAATAAGAATAAAAGCAACACACGACTAAGCTGGAGTTATCGCATTGCGTAACTGTGTGTGACCTCATACGAGTATACAAGTATGAGGGAGGATTGTGGGGCAGTAAGTGTATTACGAATGAATTATCATTAGATACAAGAGCAAACATACACAGGAATAACAACTGCGCTTTATATTTGTATGTGTTAACTTACACATGTATATTTGTATATTCACAGCATATTTGTGTTGATTAGTGCGCATTCCAGGCGACACTTCGGCATGGAGGACACACTCGCAAGCGGATATGCATACACACTTGCCTCCGTCTTTACGTGGATGCTTGCGTTGCTGGTCCACACACACTTACGCACTCGGACAACCATTTATGAAAGTTTGTGAGGCGGAGGTGGAGACAATGACCGGAAATAGTCACACAAACAAATAAAACGAAACGGAAGGTCTTCCAAAAAATAAGCGGAAACGACGAAGAACAACAACAACACAAGCGAACAAGCAAACACACAGATATTAATATGTTATATAAGTAAAAGAAAAAAGACAGCATACGTCAACCGGAAATAGCCACAT